GAGGGGCCTTACCTACCTATATTCGTTGAAGAGTTCGCTCCAACTCAAGAACTGGCATGATCAAAAGGCTGATCAGAATCATTTGATATATGGGCTCGGGATTTTGGCGCGAGAGCTAGTCCATCTTGACCATCGGATAAGTGAAGCCTCGCTCAATGCCGTCGATTCCGTCGGGTGTTGACGTCACAAGCTTGCGCTTCAACGGTCGTGACGTCAGGCTCGGTCAGCGCTGCTTTGTCGTGCATAATGCAACCTGTGACAATGCAAATTATGCAACTCGTATTACCCGAGTACTGCTCAGTTTTTCAGCCTTGAAAGTTGACGCATACCTACCCTGCATGGGCATTGGTCAATTTGGTGCCACTTGCCTAAGTAATGTTGCCCTTCTCCTCCTACACCACCATACTCCTTGCTCTGCAGGACATAATCTTACCGAATGCGGCAAGTTGCCCCTGTAACGTCCCTGCGGCATAGGCTGCACGATGAGCCAGGCATGGTTGCTACTGTCAAAGCCGGGGCCAGGGGTTCTCGCGAAGCATGTAGATGCGCAATGCCATGTCAGGGGCAGATGCGAGGCTCGGAAGGGTTCTGCTGTTCCAACACTTGGCATGCTCAGATTTGAACCGCGTTGTGTGCGCCCTAGACCGCTATTGAAAAGAGAGTTCCGATTACTCTTAGGCACGGGCCTTCGAAAGTCGTGCAGCGGGCCCAGCAGGGATGGGGAGCAGGCAGCAAGGGCGATAGCGCAGCGCGCAAGCCATGGCGGGGTGGGCTGGCAGGCCAACACAGGGCGGCACAGGCCCCGCCCCTGCTCGGCTCAGCAGCAGCGATGCAAAGTCACTGAGCGCCAGCTACGGCCGCTGCTGCGTGGAAGTCTGCTGAGGCGGCCGGGGAGAAGCAACATGCAAAAGGAGGGGCCACGCAGCCAAGAGCTTGCACCCCTGGTAGATGCAACCTTGCACAGGAGGTTGCCTCTCTGCTGTCGTGTCCGGGCTGGTCCTGAGAGACGGGAGACGTCTGGAAGTGATGCTGGGGAAGCTTGGAGCGCTCGCCCGGTGTTGGACCGCAGGGGTCCTGCCAGTGTGAGCGTGGCATCGCTGGGCCCGTTGGAGATCCTGCGCGCCGACTACGTTGCCTGGCAGGCGTGGTACGAGGAGCAGCACGACTTCCCGTCGCGCCTCCTCAGAGTACTCAGCGATGGGGGTGGCGCTGCTGCAGGTGGGGGGCCAGCCAGGCCACTGCAGGACACTCCTCTTGCAGCAGCCACAGTGGCGCACGCTAGACGGTGCCAGGAACCCATGGGGCATACATGTGGCTGCCCGTGGCTCGCGTTCCACAGTTTCTGAGCAGTTTGAGTGACACCCCGACAGTAGGCTTCTCACTGTTGTTTGTCCTCCCTGCTCCCCTCCTGGCTGCTGACTCCTCTCCGCATTGCCTGTCCCCCGCCAGGCCTCGTGGTGTCCTGGGGGCAGCCCGAGCGCGCAGCGCGGGAGCTGCAGCGGCTCCAGCAGGCGGGCGCCACCCTGGCGGCCCTGCTCTTCTTTGGCAGCAGCGAACAAAAGTGAGGGGCCGCGGAAATGATCTGGTGAAAGAGGTGGAACTTGTGAAAGAGGTTGTGTTACCCGGTGCGTAAGTGGGTCTGCCACGTTCAACTTGTGAGCAGCTTATACTTGTAATATCTTGAATACACATCATCTTGGAGCCCCCTCTCTTCCTCGTCCCTCCCCAGTGTGACCCTGTGTGGCATGGTGCGCCGCAGGATGGAGCGCGAGATCCAGTTTTACCGCGATGGCACTGTGCTGTTGGTGTACCAGCTGCGGCAGGACCTGCCCCTGCTGCCGGGCGCCCTCGTTTTATTTATCACAGGCGCAGCACCGCACCCCGTGTGAGTGCACAACTGCAAGCGCAGCACTGCGCCATGGCTGCATTAGGAGCATTTCTGGCCGGAACAGACTGCAGAGTGACCCACATGTGGGCTTGGTCAGGTCCCACATGAGACTCACGAGGAGAGACGGTCGAGTGTCCTTGTCCTTCTTCCCAAGTCCCCCTCTAATCTCCAGGCACATGGGCCCCTCCAGGCAGCCATGCTGTGGCACCCCCCGTCGGCCTGTTATTGCCTGCCGGCTGCTCTTTCCCCGCAGTCTGCTAGCCCCCATCTGTCGCTGCAAAGCACCTCGCTCCCGCACAGCCTCCTTGGGCCGCCTCTGACTCCCCCTCCCCATCGCTGGCGGTGTGCAGCGATGCGCGGCGGCTGGCGCGGCTGCGGCGCAACCTAGTGTCCCTGCTGCCCTTTCTGTTCATCGTGGTCAACACGTTCCCCGCCACGCCTGTCGTGCTCACCACCCTGCTCCGCTTCGTCCCGCGCCACCTCATCATCCCGGCCGCCTACGACGAGGAGAGACTCCAGGCCTACCAGCGGCTGCGCGCCATCCGGGTACGGTGAGCTGCTGCGGGGCTGGGCCACGCGGGGCACCTCGTGGCCCAGGCCTGGGGGGCAACGATCATGCCGCCTGTCATTTTGAGCTGCTATCTTGCGCCGTCTCCTGCATCGTGCTTTGTGACTTCGCCTTGGCAGTCGAGTACATGCTCTGATCAACAGAAGACAACACAACATGAAAGCGAGGAATTCTGCGGTGAACCGTGCTTAGCTGGTCTTTCCCATCAATAATCCCTCACTCGTGTTGCTTGTCCAGGCAAGCCAGCAGGAGCGCCCCCCCTCTGCCAATCGCGAATGACGGGGCTGCTTTTCGACCGCTGGCGCCCTATGTGGCCAGCGCGCCCTCTGCCCCCTATGCGGGTGCCCCGGCGCGGGTGGGCCCCTTTTGGTGGGAGGTGGCGCCCAGTACCGCGCTGGCCCCGGCGCAGCAGGCCGTGCTGGTGGGGGCGCGCCTGCTGGTGTGGCAGTGGGGCGTGGGCCTCGGGTGGGGCTGGGGCTACGGCGTCGGGTGGAGCTTCAACCCTGACACCGCTGACTGGGAGGTCTCCCTCGGGTGGGGGCTCGGGTGGGGCTGGGGCTGGGGCTGGTGGCTCTGAGCCACCAGACCGCTGCCTCCGGCGGCGGGGTGGCCAGCGGGCATCATTGCCGGCGGGCCTAGCAGCGAAAGCGGTGCGGCACTCGTCCCAGACCTGGCAGCGGCCGCCTCTGGGGGAGCGCCTCGCATTATTTGCGTCCCCTTTTCGGCTAGAACATGGCACGTCGCAGCAACAGGATAGGAGCAAGTACGGAAGAGACCTTTAGCGCGTGCGAGCTGCAGCTTTTGTGTTTCAGCAATTTAACTTATGTTTGAAACTTGGCATGCTAGTCAAGATTGTTCATGCTGCTTCAAGGTTGATCACCTATAACCTAGACGAGGTCAAATATATTGCGCCCAACAGGGACAAACATGCAATTCTTTGCCACCAGACAGCTTGCATTGCTTAATTGGCCGACCGTTGAGGTCAAACCCTCGATTGGGTTGTTGATTAACGGGTGGCTCGAGAGTCTCACTGACACAAGCCAAAACTCTATATGTAACCACAAGTACTTGTCCTGGCGCCCCTGCCTTTGAATCCTGGCAGCTGAAGTTCAGAAGTCATGAGTACTTCGTCACGAAAGATTGAAGACCTAGCTTTCGTTGTAAAGAAGCTCGCACTGATCATTACGTGCCAGGATCGACTTAATTATGTTGTAAATTTCTGATCGACCCGCATGGTCCGATACTGTCAACAGCCATCTGCCGGCACCTACGTATGGCAACCTATTGTCGACTCTTGAGTGGACCTGGCCAACTCATGCTGAAGCCCCGCGCTGCGCAGAGGCTGTGTACCGCAGCTGATTGGCAGGCGGGGCAACACGCTGAAGCGCAACCTCCGGGGGTGCGGATCTTTGCAATTATCCGGCCTCAAGTTACTAGCTATCGCACGGTGTACGGTAGGTCACATGCATGGTGGTATACAGCCGCATATGCGGTATTTCCCTGGAATATCGTCTATGTCATTATGTACTCATCTATATCCAATGGCAGTCATTATTCATTGAACACAGATTTTTGTATCCACGATTTAATCGTCGAGTTTTGACTATTCCAATACCATCGAGTTCCGACCACTGTTTTGAGAGAAGGGAACACCACCATCGCAATATTCACGTTGCAAAAAGCTCTTCATTCACGTTGGTACAATGATCGATGACAAATTCGTTCGTTCACGAGCCCCGGGGGGCAGCAACCAGTTGCAGTAATGTGCAAGATCGTGGTACAGCCCGTTCTGTCAAGCAGCCTAACCGACAAAACCGGGAAGGACTTTCCTCGAACACCTGGTTTACCTGGTTAAGTAACCTAAAGCTAGACTGTCAGAAGCTTCAATGCTACTACTCCGGCTTGCATGCCCACATTACCCCTTTCGCTCAAGCAAAACTCGAAAATTAGTAACTGTGCCGATGAAGAATACACAACACGCACTGCTCTACAACCTGTAACCCAGAGACGGGCCCACATACTTTGACACCAACTCGCAGTGAGCTCAACTCTTTGGTCAACCTTCACCAGGCCCAGAGCAGCTTCCTTGCTGTCTTGTGCCAATGCTATTCCGTGCACCTTTTACTTGAGACTCCCCATCTTGCACTGCCCTGATGCCTCGTCACAGAAGCCATCCCGGGTCAGGAACTTGTTTGATGGTCCACTGAGCTCGGGAGCGGACGGTGTCCCGTACGCGGGCTTGCGCTTGTTGGCGCAGCCCAGGCTCTTGCGCGTCTCCATCCCGGTCACTGGATTGGTCCCGCTCGCGTATTTACACAATTCCTGCACCACCCCCGCACATTCCTCAGGCGGGCCCACCAACATGTTGAACAGAGCTCAAACAGGGGTGCTCCATTGCTCTTGCAGCGACCTCCTCATTGCTGCTTGCGACATCTGTGCAAAGTAGACAACACGGAGAAGCTCACAAGTTGTGCTAAATGGAGGAGCGTTGGACCCTGGTGTCCTGCAGCGCTCACCTGTTTCTGCTGCAGGTCGAGCACCGAGTCGCTGAAGTCGGCCCCCTCAATCTTGGCCTTCCCAAAATCGGAACGGGTTAGTACTGCCCGTACTAGCAGCGCGTCTTTCAGATTGGCCTCATTCAAAACCTGCACGAATCGGCGCCTGTAATTATGCGGCACCGTACGGGTGGGGCTTGCCGAATGGAGAGAGTTACCCAACACCAGGTCACGCCTGGAAGGAACAGTATACAACCGTTTTTGGTAAACTCACCTCCGACATGTAACACATTGTGCGGAGTATGAGGAATTCTGATAAGTACTAAACCAGCGGAGTAAATCAGAAACGGCCTTGCTTGTTGATCGGCTGGAGGAGCCCCAGGAGCATCCACAGGATGGCTCACAGGAAAGGGGGGCGCGCTTACCATTCTGTCCATCAAGGTGTCAGTGAGGTCCGCTCCTGCAGACAGGCGCACCACGCACGGGGGATCAGCAGAGAGAGAGGGGCCAGCCCCGCTGTGGCAAGGGACTCCCAAACGGGATGTTGGACCACAACCTGCTGGGGGCCTTCGTAGGCATTCAGAACAATGAAAAAGGGTCGGTCAATGGGCTGAGCTGCGAACGAGGCGGATCTGGGATGCACCTTCGAAGTTTGTGCCGGCAGCCACCGCTTTCTCGAGGTAGGCACCCACAAAGTTGGACCCACTGAAGTCCGCATACCGCATGTCGGCTGACGTGAAGTTGCCCCTCCTGCAGTAAGGGGGCAAGGGGGCATTGGGTGGCATACCCGCAGGGGTGCCCAGCAGCACAGGCGGCAGCTCCGCAAGGGGGCGGCAGCAGCGGGAGTTTACAAGGAGGACATGCAGATAGCGAGCCATGCCTTTGGGGAGGCTGGAGCGGCTCATTCTGGCCAGTCTTCACACCGAGCACGTACCTGAAGTTTTCGTTGGCATGCTTGGTGTACCTGCAACAAGACAACACTCTCTAAGGATCACAGTGGACCACAGACTTTCTTGGACACCAGCAATTCTTGAGCAGCACCGCAGCTGCGACTGAGCAGCCTCAGCAGCTAGTGAGGGGGCCATCCCAGTGGGCGTGCACGATCACCTTCCAGGACATGGCATCAGGCACCAATGGCATGCCCCGCATAAGGAGCCAGCACCATAAACTTCTGATGGGCAGAGCTGTGGCTTGAACGGCTCACTTGAGATCGGCGGAGCCATACTGCACTGCGCTCCCAATGCCAAACTCGCCCCGGGTGTCCGCCTCAAACTTGTTGAGGTCGGCCAGTGCCTGCCAGCGCACCCACACACACATCAGCGTAGGAATCACACGATCGCCTGCCTAGGGCCACGCGGCCTACTTGATGCAAAGTCATGGCGTAAACCCACGGGGCGTGCTGATTCGCACAGAATCTCACGGCTCTATGGGGCCTCTCACAGGACTTGCATCACATCAAACCGACTCCCAAGCTTTCACCACTTATGCAAGAGGCGGCGGATGTCTGCACGGTCCCTCGCCTGGGTGTCTCACCGGGGAGCCTGCCAGGAGCACTGCCGCTGCCAGCGTGGCTGCAAGCCCCCTCTGTACGCCCTGCGGCCGACCCTGAGCAGTCCGGGCATGCCCCTCCTGTGGGGGGGCCGCCGCTCTGACCGCCCGGCATGGACAAGGCCGGCTTGGCCAAGGCCCGCCGTGTCGTTCTGGCAGGGCAAGGCCGGAGAAAGAGCTCGACACAAGACGCGCGTGGGCAGCTGCAGAAGCCATTGGAGAGGCAGCTAGTGGGTGGACGGTCTGTGGGTCCCAAGAATGTGGCCTCCTTCAAGTTGAACTTTGAAATTGAACGTCTTCAGAATCATAGCAGGGCATGTCGTCCTCCTCGGATGCGAGCAAAATCCGTAACAGCAACCTAAATCCTGTGTCAAGTGGAATGTGGGATTTGGAAGTCTTTTGTTAGACTTTAATAGGTATTTAATATGACTACTGTACTACCTATTAAATAGGTAGTCGTCTGACAGTGACGGCCCGCGGTGAAGCAATCCGCGCTTCCAACGCCATTGACACACACAGCTGCCGGGTTCCGTTTCACATTACAGTAACTACACGGAAGCAAGAAGGAGGACTTCTAGCTACCAGAACTGAGCACCCTCTATTTGGCCCTGGGTGCCACATGAGCCATTTCTCACTACGTAATAGCTCCGTGCTGGCACTTTACAATGCTGTGCCGCTGCGTTGTGCTCTTCCACCTCAGCATCACTGGCTGTGCCTTACGATAAAGTTGCAATTGGCCCTTTGAAGCGCAGCGGTGGTAGCTCTTGCTGCTGCTGTGCAACTTGCCACAGTATGGACGGCAATGCGGGGTGCGCGTGTCATCTGCCAATGGAGCGCCAGGTGGACAACGTGCACTGGCTCACAACTGGGCCCTCTGCAGACGGGCGGGCGCTCGCGCTGGTCAGTGGGGACAAGCAGTCGCAGGTACGCGCGATTGACAACTGTCCGCCACGTATGATCGAAGCCTTCAAGGCTCGATACGACTGCCTGTTACACCACTGTTATCCATCATCTGTGGACCTCATTCAGCAGCGCGGTCCAATTGCTGGCAAGGGGACTCTCAACTTCAATCCCCTTGTGTTTGAGTTCCAGTGCATGGTGTTCTCAAACATTGCAACACCAATTGCCTTGACTGGGACAAGCCTGAATCACTTCGAAGTCTTGGTTTTCCCTCCAATTCTTTGAGGAGTCAGGACAGATCAGACTGCTCAAGGCACACCTGGTGCTGGTGCTTTCTCTTCCAGCTTGTGCGTGCTTCTGAATCGTGCTGTGACGCGGCAGGTTGAGGTGCTGGCCCTGCGCTGGCCGGATTCGACGCCGCCTGATGCCCACAGCGTGGGCCCCACTCCGGTGCTGGCTGAGCTGGACCGCTGGCCACTCGACAGCCGCGCAACTGACTTGCAGGTGCGTTGATCTGCAACTTGCCCGCCTCAGCTGCCAGTGCAACCCTTATTGCACTTTGAGCAGGTGCGATGTACACTCTGGGAAAAGGCAGAGATATGGGAAGCTGTGGCTGCGTCCGTGCGACTCACATTGCGTGCCATTGCTGAAACAGGTCATGGCTTCGGGTGGCGGTGAGGCGGTCATTGTGGCGGGCACGTCCAGCGGTGCCCTCTCCATGGGGCTGTTCGATGGTGCGTAGTGCGCGCTGCCAGGTGGTCCCTCTGCCGCCCTGCCATACCCCCCATCCCTGGAGCCAGTCTGGGCAGCCCTGGAATCAACATGGTCGGAGGCCTCCTACCTGATGCCTGATGCTGCATGAATTGGGCACTTGACTGGGCAATTTCTGGGATGCATCTTGACCTACCAATTGTATTGCTTGGCCTCTCCTTTCGTCTCAAAAGTTGAAATCTTCACCTTTTATCAGGAGTTGGAGAAGCTGATGAACGTGAGACACAATCCTGCTTACGGGGGCAATTCTAAGAAGCTGTCTTAGATTTGTGTACCTGGTGCGCAGGGCAGCATGGGCGGCCGGAGGCTCCCCTCCCGCAGGTGCACGCCAGTGCCGTGGTGGCTCTGGACATCCAGCCAGAGACACGCCAGGTGGGCTCACGGGGAATGGCAAACACAGCCTGCTGTTGTGTGAGCTAGCCTGCCTTGGACCTGCTGCTTTTGATTGCCGGCAAGTTTTGAACCACAGTTGCAATGTTCCACATTTACCGCGTTGTCTCGCACATGTTCAGGTCCTTTCCGTGGACGAGGCTGGCCGCTTCTGCCTCACCCCCTTGGGCCCTGCACAAGGCCAGACCCGCGTGCTCTTTGGTGAGCAGCGCAAACACAAACGATGTGGCCCGCTGCTGGAGGGCAACAGAGCCCTCCGGTGAGCAGCCGCCAATTGGTCAAATTTCCAGTCGCAAAGTCGCTTGGCATTGCCTTTATCCCAGAAGTAATTGCAGAATCTCAATGTGCAGATCGGACGCACAACTCATTGGTTGCCCAGAGCAAGCCGTGCTATGAAGTCCTGCGTTGAGCCTGTCTGTCCCCCCCCCCTGTTTAAAAAGACTTCGTTGTTGGCTTCTGTAGATTTCAAAGGAGCTCTCAGCATTGGCGCACTGCGATGGACCTCGGCGACGGTAAGGTCACAACTCTCAAGCCGAATATGTCGGGATTTTTTGGCTGTCTCACAGAATTGAATTCATAGGCCCACTGATGACGCATTGAAAGTCACCCAAGTTTGTCCTTTGTCAGAGTTGGCAAGGCTCCTCGTCTGCACCTGCTTCGAAAGACTGAGAAAGCAGCTTCTCGAAAGCAGCTTCTCATCTCTACCTATTAAAGTGGCCTCGCCCCCTTGCCCAGGGCCTTTTATAGCCCCGATATTACATCCGCCGCCCTCCTTGTGCAGACGTTTCTGACCGGTGGCCAGGGGGACGCCCTGTTAATGTGGGACGTGCGCCAGGCGGGCCCGGCCTCGCGCTCGCCCGCCGCAGGGTAGGCGCACCGACGCAGCAGCACCGCAGAAGTACTCGGTGCCGTCATGTGATCTCGATTGATGCAGTGATTAGTACGTTCAGTGAACAAAATCTGTCGGATTACTTGAGAGGGACAGGGTGGGTGAGGCGTGGAGCATATAAACCTTTGGTGTAGACTTTCGTTTCAGTCGGTGGCTTATTGGTCAGTGGGCTTGTTATTCACTGAGTCGAGAAGAATCATCGTATGCCCAAGGCTGCATGCGAACAGCACATGTAAGCTTGAGGGCCGTTTTGATGCTCTCTCGGAGCTGGGGACCTCCTTGCTCCTTCATCTGCACCTGCTCCTGACATGGGGCCTGCGGTGCATGTTGCGCAGGGCCGCATCACTGGAGTCGACCACGTGCATGGATGTGCACCCATCACGAAAGTACCTCTGTGTAGTGAGTCCGCTTCTCCTGCTTTCTTCAACTGCCAACCTGCCCCCTTCAGCTTCGTGCTTTCTCAATGAGCACGAACCGTCTTGTGCAACTTGCTACTCGCAACTTGCGGCTGGTCGTAGGGTCTGCAATGAGGGTTGGCCTCTCCCTCAGCCACGTGCCTTGCTCGGCGGTGCGTACCAGGTGGGTGGGGCTTCTGGCGCGGTGCTGATGTGGGACCTGCGGTGGCAGCGTCAGCCGCTCGTCCTGGCCGCGCCGCCCGCTCGCGCCCCCGCAGCTCGCGCCGGCTCCCCCAGCCTGGTGGTGGAGAGCGGGGTGCGGCAGGTGCGGTTCGACCGCGTGGCGCACTTGTCCACGGCCGCGCTGGGGGTTGCGGAGCAGGGCGCGCTGCCACCAGTCATGCTCAGCACCGAGGACGGCCAGCTGGCACTCGCCGGAGCAGGTGGGTAACGGGGGGGAAGACCATGGGCGGGGGATTGCTCGAGTCCCTTTTTGGAAACTGCTTGTGGCAGCTGGAACTTGACTGAGGCCTCCCGCTGTGAGTGTCCTGTCATTCTCAGCGGGGGCTCTTGCGGGTGTTTGCAGATAGTTTGGAGGTTTCGGCTTCGGCCGGCCGTTGACTTTATTCTGAGTCTGACCATCAAAACATTTCTTTAATGCAAACCTAGCGTCGACACGGACAGCCGATGTTTGCAAAAATGCCCTTTGGCACGGTGGCATCGTATTGGCGCCACCTTGAGGGCTTCATCTCATAAGCTCTCTAGGTCGTGTTTTGATGTCCGTTCACTCACACCGAATCCTACGCGAACGTCTCATTCAATGTCTCCCTTGAGACGCTTCCAAAGCCCTTTCTGTGCCCGTGGAGGGTCCGCTTGCCGCGGCCCAGGCTAGTGTCCTTTGTTCCGCGAGCTGCGGGTACCTCGCTGTCAACTGGTGGGTAGTGTTACCATTTCGGCGTTGTATGAGGCCTATTTACCAACCGAAAGACTAATTGCTCATCAGTTTATTGAATCCGTTCCTGTAGCATCATGTGTGATAACGAAGTGTTCGTCGAAGGGCTGTTCCTTGCTTGTCCTTGTCGTGGGCAAAGCTTCCAACGTTTCTGAATGTTCGCTGAAAGTGGATTCGCTCTATATCTTGCTTGTTCGCATTTTCTGCACATGAGCGTGCCAGTTGACGTCTTCTTTAATCTTGTCACAGGGGAAGCATGCCGACTGATGCGGGACATCTTCTCGATAAGCTCTTTTGACGTCGATTCCGAATTTGGACAGGTGAGCCCCTTGCGTCTCAAATTCTCGCACCCTTTTCGAAGCCGATGACATATAGTTCACACGAAGGAGTCCTATTCAAAACGGTTTTTGGGGAGTCAACTGCCACCTTGATTGCTGCATCAGGCACGGACAAGACCACTTATAAACATAACATGCTTCCTTTGAAACACAGCTCTTCTTCTTTGTTCCCTTCCTTGAAGGACGTCATATGCACATCCGAATCCGAGAAGCTTCTGTACCTTAGAAGACCACGGTACATGTAAGCAGCTCTACGAGCAGATAATGCACGCTTCTTGTAACTTGCCTAACACAGTCATTTGAGAAGAAGGTAGACTTCCGTAGGGTTAAAGATGTTTGAGGATCTGTATCCTTTTCATCATCAGCATAGCTACGACTCAACATCAGATGTGAACGACTCATTGGTGGGTTCTCGCAAAAAAGTTAGCATCAGCTACCGCTAAAGTAGTTAGTTTTACGACCTCCTGTGTGGTTCAAAACAATGGTGGGACTGGACTAATGCAACGGCCAATACGATCATGGCAAGTGATCTTGGGGCTAGCCTGAGTCAGAACAGAATGGAGATTTGTATTGGTCACTGCCCAATTCATATGACTTTGGAAGAGAATATCAGTGATATGAAGGCTTGTATCCAGGATACTTCTATAACAATCAATTGTATTCTGGCTCAGTATATCGTTGTCCTTGCATGAGTTTGCATAGGCCTTACACTGTACAGGCGGCCTATTCATGATTCTCCTATGAGCAGTATGAGTCCAAACTTCGTATTAAATCGTTTGGTTTGTGGTCACTGGCAAAAATAGAAACCCTTCTGGATTGGTAGCCCAGTGACTAGTCACAAGGTGCGTGTCAGCTATCCTACTGTTGTGCTTTGTCATACGTACACATTATCTAATTCATGCATGGAATGGACGTGAACATGCCCAGTCCCAAACGGCTTCTGGCTGCCTTTGCCACTGACGCTCGCGTCGCTCTGGGGGAATTGGCCCAACTTGAGATATCGGACGGTCTCGGATGGTCCACGGAAACAAATGTGTCAGAATTCAGGATCCCGTCGAAGTGGATAAGGACAAATGACCCATGTGCTGGCAGGGCCGGCCGCGACTCCGAGTCCGAGCATGCCATTGCAAGGCAGCGTTTGCAAGGAGAAGACTCCGCGAGAAGTGGACTGCACCTGTTCAGTTCCGGCCTTGCCTTGCTTTTAAAATTGGGCTTCAATAGGTGTGTTCGGAGGCTCTCCATACAATCGTACTTTGCTGCTCATCTTGTCACGTTCGGCAGTGAGCGCATCCCTGTTGCAAGGTGAGTCCGCTTGCATCTTTCCTGATCACTGTTGTATGCACCTTCCGTGTATCGCAGACAGTATGTGACTTTGCTCTCTGCAATAGGGTCAGTCGACAGAGCCCGCTTTTTGCCGGACGTGTCTGTGGTAAACTTTGGGCAAAGGATTCTCTGCTTTGGGAGTGCTGCCGCTGACAAGACAGTTCACTGCAAAGTGTCTGCCCCATGACTCTGGTCATGGCAGATCTAGACTTGTCTGGTTTGCAAAAGGCTTTGTTTTCTTGCCTTCAAAAGTTTCTGGCACAAGCTGTGTTCCACATTACCTCCAAAATTCATGTTTCTGGAATGATAGATTGGATGTCAGGCCTCTTATCACTCCTCTCACCTCTGCAGGCTATGTGACTCCCTGGTCTTCCAGCGTACCCCACGCTCTTGAGAAAGCATTGACCAGTGCCGGTGGCAGGCAGCGGCCTAGCCGGCGCGTTTGGTCCCGGTGGCTACCGCTATGGCAAGTGCGACGAAGCTGGCCACCTCATTCCAAACAGTGCCCAACGGCTGGGCGGAGCCGCGAAGCGCGTCGTGCTACCCTTCCGATGTCTATGTGGCAGGGTTACCGGCTGCGCGTGCCCCTTGTTGCCCCTCAGTAGCCCGGCGCCACTCGAGCCTAGCTGCCAGCACCTCTGGGAGGGGGCCAGCATTGGCCAGTGACTTCGTCTCATGGAAAGCGGAGGGACCTGGGCAGTGGGCCCCGCCGCTGGGAGGGCTAGGGACGGGGGACAGGAAGAGGCGCTCCGGGGTCCACGCAGCATTTGACCTGCCGTCCAGCCCGCGCAGAGGGAATGGGGGGACAGCAGCGGGGGAGGCGGAGAAGATGCGAAGGAGATCGGGGCCAGCCCCTTTACGGGCCATGCGACAGATCAGAGACCCCGTGCCGTCACCGGTAGAGCGACAAGCGCGGTCACCCCCTGCCGGAGCGGGGCGGGTGCAGCTAGAGCAGGTGGCTAATGGACGAGCCACCACACGCACACCAGCAGCAGTGGCAACGAGGTTTCCGCTGCCAGGGATTGGGGGGAGTCCGAGGGTGGTAGCGATGGAGGTGCAGAGCACGCCAGAGCTGCAGCAGCTGGAGATGGAGAGCGGGCTGTGCGTGGCGTTCAAGAAGTACACGCCAGAGTCGGTGAGGGGCAGCTTTGCGGGGAGAGGCGCTGAGGTGATGGGGATTGCCCGGGTGATGCAGGGTTCAAGTGGCTTGCGGGTAGAGTCAACGGCAGCATTGTGCTTTCATGGATAATCAGCAGGATGTTCTTAAGATCCTGCACTGTAAGAGGCTCAGATCTGAAGAATTTGTGAGGTTCATGGCGTAAAAAAGCTGGGACCTTGACTTGATTGACTTTTTTGCACATTGAATTGTTCCAGTCGGGAAAATAAGAATGGGAAGTTGTGCACGAACCTCTTGTCCTCCTGCCTTCCTTATGCCGCAGCTCGGTCAAGGTAAACCTCCAAACAACAGCGGTAGCAGATCTTTCTAACTCTAGGCCTACATCGTTGATGGGCTGTAGCCCGTTGTGCAAGAATGCTGTCAGTTGTCCTCTATCCCCCAACCGTCTCCCGTTCTCTCTTCTAGGTGCGCTCTCGTGCTCTGGAGAGCCCTGGCTCGGTGTTTGCTATCGCGGCTCGGTGTGCAGAGATTGTGTTCTCCCTGGGCACGTACTGGGCGAGCCTGTCGTGGGACTGCCTGCTGGGGAAAAGCGAGCAGCAGGTGCCGTATCGTGCGCAGCAGCTGCGGCGGCTGCTGTGCACGCTGGGGCCGTCATTCATCAAGGCGGGGCAGGTGCTGGCCAACCGGCCCGACATTGTGCGCGAGGACTACATGAACGAGCTCTGCATCCTGCAGGACAACGTGCCAGCCTTCCCCGACAAGGTGACCGCTCCCCCGCGCATGTCGGCGCCCCCACCGTGCAACGCTTGAAAGGTCCTCTTGCTCCATCACCTGCAGGTGTACTGCCCCAGCTATTGAGGCCATGGCTGTGGCCCCAAATGTGACCACGTATGTGCAGCTGATCCCCTAAGCTCAGGCAGTCGGGTGGTAGCTGACGAGTCCAGGGTTTCCTCTTATGCAGGAGGCCTTTGACATGATTGAGCGCGAGATTGGGCGGCCTCTGGAGCAGGTGTTCAGCAGCATCTCTTCGTCCCCGGTGGCAGCTGCCAGCCTGGGCCAGGTGTACAAGGCCACGCTGGCCGCCACTGGCGAGGAAGTCGCCATCAAGGTAAGCACTGCCCTGCCGTCGACTGCAGCAGCTGGCGAACAAATGGATTGGATAGCCACCGAGCTTGAGGGAAACAAGGTTCTGTGAAAGAGTTCTACAGCTGCGTTTTGTCGTTTTGTTTGTTCGATAAGTTCTGTGTCTTTGAAACATTCGTTTGCTGGTCTTGCCATCGAAGGGCCAGATGGCGGAAATCCCTAATGTCTCCGCTTCCTCAGCATCTCGAAGTTGACCCATGGGGTCGGTCTCGCTTGTGGTGCAGGTGCAGCGGCCGGGCATTGAGCCCATCATTTACCGGGACCTGTTTCTGTTCCGCCTGCTGGCCAGCACGGTCAACGGCATCAGCCTTAAGAAGCTGGGCTGCAATGCGCAACTCATCGTGGACGAGTTCGGGGAGAAGCTGCTTGAGGTGCGCACCCCCGCAAACAGCGCAAGCATCTGCGTGGTAGAGGACCCTTGACTTTGGTTTCAGCAGGACCCTGTTCATCGTGCAAACTCTATTTTCAGCTCGCTGTCCCAGCTGGTGGGCCGACCCTCTGACCGTGGACGTCGCTGTTGGATTCAGGAGCTGGACTACACGTTGGAGGCGCGGAACATCGAGGACTTCTACGCGAACTTTCAGGACGATCCCACTGTCAAGATTCCTGCCGTCTACCGCGCCTTCAGTGGCAAGGAGGTCCTGGTCATGGAGTGGATTGACGGCATCCGCTGCACCGACCCCCAGGTACGGCCTGTCTTTTCCCCAGCACGACGGGCATGCCGCAGCACGTTTGCTGGTTTGCAATCGCGGAACTCTTGTAGCTCCTGCTCTAGTTCGTCCCCCAGTGCGACTGGTCCGAGTGTCGGGCAAGCACGAGTCGAACGTGAAACGTGAGGGGTCACTTGTTGCTGGCGGGCTTGTGAGAGTAGCCTCTTGGCCGGTGGGAGGGGGTCTCCGGCTTGTGGGACTCGGCCTGAGTGTACCGCACATGGGTGGTGCACGTGCAGGGCATTCAAGCGGCAGGCATCGACGTGGAGTCGTTCATCACGGTGGGCGTGAGCGCGGCGCTGCGGCAGCTGCTCGAGTTTGGACTGTTCCACGGGGACCCCCACCCTGGTAACATCTTTGCGATGCGCGACGGCAGGATCGCCTATGTCGACTTTGGCAACGTGGCAGAGCTGAGCCAGGTATGCAGCCTACAGCAAGGCTCGTGGCGCCGGCTGCCTTCTTCTGTAAGGCCTTCGGTGCTGCCTAGATCGAGCTGTCCTCTCTGGCAGCCTTTCGGTCTTACCCACCCACTTCGCTTGCTTTTGCGCCCTCTCTTTGCCGCGCCTTCCGCCATTCCCCCGTTGACAGCTCCCTTGTTTGCTTTCGCGCAGTACAATAAGCAGATTTTGATTGACGCCATCGTCCACGCGGTGAACGAGGACTACGTGGAGATGGCGGGCGACTTTTGCCGCCTCGGCTTCCTGGCCCCCGGCACGGACATCACGCCCATCGTGCCCGCGCTGGAGGCCATCTGGCAGAACAGTACCGGCAAGGGCCTCGCCGACTTCAACTTCCGCACCGTCACAGGTGCGCACAGTGACCACTCATGTGCTGGCCCCTGCTCTTGTGTGACAGCACCTTGAAATATGACCGATTTTTGACAGGTTGCCCGTCTCGATGAGAGCCCCCAGACCTCGCTGGGCGGCCAGCTTATTGTTGCCTCGCGTCCCCCCCTACCATACCTTTTTTTTCTCATTCTCGTGTGCTGCTGGCTCTTGATGCGTGCATGCAGCGCCTGGTGTGCAGGCAAGTTCAACGAGCTGGTGTACCAGTACCCGATCCGCATCCCGGAGCGCTTCTCGCTGGTCATCCGCAGCCTGCTCACGCAGGAGGGCATCTGCCTGACGCTGCAGCCCGACTTCAAGTTCCTGGAGGTGGCCTACCCCTACGTCGCCAAGCGCCTCCTGACCGACCCCGACCCCGCGCTGCGCGAGCGCCTCATTCAGGTGCTCTTCCGCGACGGCGTCTTCCAGTGGAAGCGGCTCGAGAACCTCATCCTGCTCGCCAAGGAGGGCGCGCAAATGACCGCCAAGGTCGGCACCGCCACCCCCGAGCCGCAGCCGACGACCTCCACCGGCCGGGCCATCGCCGCTAAGGTCAGCACACCTGCTCCGGCTGCACGCTGCTCACAGCCGAGGTGCACTTCAGCCTGGCTGGTGTCGGCTGACACGTATACATTCGGTCCCATGCATTCGTGGTGTTCCATACGGGCCCGTTTCGCGTGCTCCTGCGCTTCCTGCAGTGGCTGTTCCAGCCTCGACTGGTTTATGCACGTTGCCTGTCTTGCCTGCTTGGTGCTGACAGTTCATGTGTGCGGACTGGCAGCGCAAGGGCCTGGACCTGAGCGACACGGTGAAGGACGGCGCGCGTCTCGTGTTCGTGGACCCGGGCCTGCGGAGGCAGCTGCTGATGGCGTTCACGGAGGACAGCCGGCTGCACGTGCGCGAGGTGGCGGACCTGTACCGCCTGGTGCAGGCCGAGCTGCAGCCGCGCGACATGGTGCAGAGCCTTGTGCAAGGTGCGCCCCGCCAGCCTCCATGCGCGCACACATCGCCGGATCGTCTGTGGTTTTGTCCAAGGTGCACGGGACTGCTGCTCTCTCGTGCAGAATGCTGGACGAGGAGCTGCCCTCCTTTCACGTTTGAAAGCGTCACAGAACGAAGTTGAGGGGAAAGTACACGAGCTTTGAATGTTTCTTGCATGCTAGGCGGCTTTCGGAGTCCTTGGAACCAATGGTGACCTGGGCGCGAGTAACACGGCACTAATTTGTTTAGGCGTGTCCTTGCAGATATCCCTACCATAACGAGGGATCTCATTCTTTCTTGGAGCGATTCCATCCTTTCAGAACGATGAGGATGTCTAAGAAGGTAGAAAAGTCAGCTCATAGGCGTAGTTTAGTGCTTGCAGGACGTAACCAAGATACGGAATCTTAGAAACATTGTTGAGCAGCGTAGCCTATGTTGAGCTGAGGCTGCTATGGCCTGGTTCGCATGGAAGTTGCTCGTTGTTTGGGAGGGGTTGGACGTCCTGCTTTTCCTACATTTTCTGGGAGAAATTGGGGCTTGTTTGGTTTGTGGAATTTGCTTCAAAGCTAGAGGGGAGCCGCCCCTTTTGATTGGCCTCACCTTTTGTCTTCGACCTGCAACAAGAGCAGCTAAGACGACAGAGTGACTCCATTTCTACTTGAACGTCTGTAAGAGTGAAGATAAAATACTCTCGATAGCAAGTTTTCCCATCTCAGTAGGGTGTGTGAATTAGGGAACTATGCAAAAGTACCAGCGTAACACTACATTTGCCACCATTTCCACCATGCTTGCAACATGATGTTGAGAATTCACAGCATGATGCCTCACATGGTTTGAGCTTTTCATCAAGCAACGCCTGTAGCCAAGCACTCATGCACGTGCAATCTTTTGGTGCGCTCATCGTGTTGCTCTGAGTTGCTCTATATACATACTTGAAGCGTAGTTAAAAGGGCCGTTATATATCTCCGATATCATTAGTCGGCAAAAGAGAACGCAACAGAACTAAAATACCGGTACTAATCATGATAGCACCTCTTTTCATCAGGGCAATTAACGGGCATGCGCATGGGCTCCACTTGAGGATCACGTCAACTCGAGTGACCCAAAGGCTTAGTATTAGAAAACACGTAGTTACCAGTCGCTCGCTGACATGTGCTGCAAGAGTGTTTATAATACAGTTTAAGATTTGGGAACCCGAATTACTTATTAAGCCGATTTAGTAAGGTCGAACTTTCCCTTATCCGCAGATTCAAAACCCTATTACCCGTGGGACAGAAATGTGAAGACGTCTTCATGCATATCTCATGCTTCGCTCCATCTTTTTGCGATCCGTCTTTTGCACATGAAAGGATACATCAAAAGGTACCTCGTAAACTTTAG